GAGCATATGTCTATAGGACTTTTTTTCTTAGTTTTTTACTCCTCTACACGCTCCCGAAGTTTTGCCATTTAATTTGGAAACACCCTGTATATACACAAATAAATAAGTATATATAAATTATTAATTTATTTAAAAATTTAATTATTAATTATATAATAATTATATATTTTATATTATAAATATTACAATATCTAAAAATAATATAGAAGTCTGGTAAGGAACATATTGTAGTTTTGTAATGGTTTATTTTACCAAACAAATGAAGGAAAAGACGATAGAATTTACATGCGGATACCTCATTGAAATATTAATAATTTTGTGCACTATTATAAATTTAAATATGCTGTGAGAAAATAGAATATGTTCTAAATTAACGACGTGAATAGTTCACCTCGTACCTCAAATTAATGCGCATTATGATTAGAATTAAAAGAATTACGTAAGTATTGCGTTTTTCTACATGTAATAAATGTGCATACATGTATTTAACCTATGTAATGAAATATTTTAATAAATTTTTTATTTATAACCTTTAATATTTTTAATGCAAATTTCATATTATGCTATAAATTAGAACTAAATTAAAGATTTTATATATTTATATATATTCTACATTCTATATATTTTTATTTGTGTGTGTAGGTGTGTGTGCGCGCGCGCGCGTAGCAGAGTGAAATTTTTTAATGTTAATAGATTAATTCGTATTTAAATTTTAGAAACCAACCTTAAACCAAATTTTTAATGATATGTGAAATGAAAAATGTTAACATTAAGTGATTGATTCATCTCTCCTTTCGATTCTATCATATGACAATATATAAATGAATTTATCAAATTTCTCAGATTTAAATATTATTCATTAATTAATAGTTCTCACTTTCATATATGTAACAGTTATATATATTTTGTATACAATATGTATAATTTATAAATACATAAAAAAATAAAATACAAATATATAAAAGGTAACAGATTAGTGAGTTAGGGATTATTCCTTGAAATAGAGATTTAGAACGGCTCCTTGAGACCTTTCCCAAACCGAAAGGCGCTGTGCCAAAATTCGGTTTACCAGGGTGGAAAATGATGCCTCTGGAGCATAAAATACCGATGATACCTGGACCGAAGGGAGCTGACAGTGCAAAGTGGGGAAAAAATTATGGGGACCGAAATCGGACTTTGATCTGAGTGATCCTTACTGCCACGAAACCAAATTCCGTTACGAATCCCTGCACGATGAACATCTGCTGAAGTTTTTTTCTAGACCGATTAATCGGAAATATCTACTGAAAGCTGATCTTATCACAGATGACATGGATGTGAAATGTTCGCTGCAAAATTATAACGAGTACAGGAAGTATCTAAGGCAGATGCATGCTGATCGTATCAAGAAAGAGCTGACAAAAGAAAACCGTCTCTTTGTCGAAAGAAGAGCTCTACGCTTTGCCGAAGATCAGGCACGCAAGGAAGCGGAAAGGTATAATCGCAATTATTACGTGGCAAGGAAAATATCGTTTTTAATGTAAAAAGTTTCTGCTAGCCAAGAAAGAGATATCTCATCATCCTAAATATTTTTTGTGTTTCGCAATTCCTTTTCTCGAATTTATATAGAATTTATTACACTTCAGTATACATAACCAAGGAGAGGACTTGGTTTACATATGCAGTCTTAATTCATTCATTCGTCCCTTGATTCATTCATATCTCGCCTGCGCGTTACTATCTATTACTATACAATTTTACTATTTTTTGCTACATCCAGTTTTACTTTATATATTCTCTTCTTTACATTCTTTTATCCATATCTTATCTGTTTTCATTTTATATCCTCGTTAAAAAATTTTTCATGCATGAATATGTATAAATATGTATAAACATACATGGATATTCATAAACATGTATAATCATATATGAAATATATCCATACATGTTCATACATTCTTCTTTCTTTTATAAAATTACTTTTTAGTGTAATACAAATAATAGTAATGTGAAAACATTAAAAATAATTAAAAGAGTAATTTTCATCCTATTTGTTTTAGAAAAAATCAACTTTGAAGAAATGTAAAAAATTACTTATGTATAATTATATATAAAATTATGCATAATTTTGTATGAACAATTTTTTTTACATTTTTCCAAACTTATTTTTTTCTAAAACGAACAATGCAAAAATTATCCCTTTAATTATTTTTTATTTTTTTATTTATTTTTTATTTTTATTAAACTAAATTAAATTAAATTTAATATCTAGATCACAACTTTAATCACAGCCTACAGTTATCACCTGCTTGTTATTGTTATTGCACTCTTTTATTTCCTTTGAAATTTACTCTACCTATCCCTATTTTCTGTTTCCGCTAATCCACCACTCCAAGAATAATGAGGAGACAATACGGACCGTGCCACACTGGCACGTTACTATGTGGTAACAGGTTTTCCTATGATGGGGAAAGAATGGGGGTAGTTTCCTAGCCGCTGTAGTTATCGGCAACTACCCCCACTCTTCCCCCACCACGCGCTACGCGTTAATAGCGCAAGCCAGAATCTGGCATCACTGGCTACACCGTCTCTTGTTGGGAAGCTGCTCCCGTCATTTCCCCTACCACAGAACAATGATGCATATTTATGGCTTCTGCACACTGGATGCGGAAACGCTTACCGCGCGGTAAAATGCGACGCAGTAACCAATGAACATGTTAGGAGCTGTTTGGCTACCGCGTCACATTTTGCCGCGCGGCAAACGTTTCCGCGTCCAGTGTGCAAGAGCCATTAGGTCCGGCTTCGGGCACGCCACGTTAAGGTACTATATTAATTAATATAATACCTTAGCCACGTTCAGCAGCTTTGGCGCGTCGAGCCTCTCAAGAGCCTCTCTCGCTGTCTCACTCGCTGTCTCACTCGCGCTCGGTGCGTCGAAAGCTTCCGAATGCAAGGACAGACGTATCTCACTATCGTGCTCAATGGCGCCGAGTTGCCGAGTTGAGCGGTGTGCCCGGATTAAATGTGCATCACTGCCACAGAATAAGCATTTCTTTCTATATTCTTCCAAATTAAAAATTCACCCTATATAATCCATCGTTATCTTTCTTAATTTTCATCCAATCCCCATATTTCCACCCCGTACATAACACGTACTTTATACTATAAAGAAATATCTATAAAATCTACCTGAAATCATTCCTGCATATTCTTTTATCTAGACCCTAGACCTTTCTTTCCAGACCAGCTTACCTTTTCTATATAATTCCTATATGTGCTCTCTCTATAGTTATCCCTTCTATTCAAAGTAAAATCTAAATACTAAATTCCTGCACCTGTTTTATCTCTTTTTGCCCCATTTCCATTTTTCAATCCTCTCTTTTTCTCCTTTTACAAACTAACACCTTTGTTTGACTGGTATAGAGTTTTAGTTTTCTCTCCTCCAAAATTTTCTTGAAAAAAAAAAATATATATATGTGTGTGTAATTGTGTATGTATATACATATAATGAGAGGTGTAACACAGGCCAGAGGCCTAACGTAAGAGGAAGATGAAAAAGATGTATATATTATTAACAAGATTTTTTTATAAATTCAGATTGAAAGAAAGAGAGAAGTTGGCCATCGAGAGACAGCATCTCGTGCAGCAACGGTTACTACAAGAGAAACTGAGAATTCGGAAACTGGAGGAGCGAACGTACAGAACAACGCGAAGATTGAAATTGTTAAAGTTCGTTAGGCGAGAAGAACAAAGACTGTTAAATATTAAGCGTAATGAGCGGATCGAACAGATTCGGCAAAAATGCAAAATTGCGGCGGAGATCGCTCGACGTAAAGTGATCGATACGTTGGTGGATTGGAAGAAAAAAGACAAGGCACGAAAGAAAAACAAAGAAAAACGACTAATGAATATCGCACAACAAAAGCAGAAAGACATGGAAGAAAGGTACATACATTATTAAATCTATTTAATAATGGAAATAACGGAACAAAATCTATCATGCGATATTTTTGATAAATAAAAAATAATTTAGTTTAGTAATTTTTGTAAACAAGCAGAGTAATCTGAAAAGGAAAAATATATATCTGCAAGATTCTTTTTCTTAAGAAAGGCGAATTTCAGATGGACAAAAAAGTGGCAGTTCCAGGAAAAGAATATTGTGAAACAAAAAATATTATTGCAACGTATAGACGCTCGCCGTCAAAAATTCATAGAAGATTACAACAACAAAATAAATAAAGAAACAGTAAAAATGAAAAGTAATGTTATAAGAAAAAATTGAAGAAATAATATTACGTTTTCAATTATAAAGTTCTCAATTATGAATTATGCAATCATTATAGTTCACATAAATTGAAAGATTTAATTTTATTATAATGTAATTTTGCGCAGGACTTTTGGACGATGCGAAGCTCTTCACAAACTGTTACATGAAGAGGCGCTTACCAGATGGAAGAAAACTTGTTTGCTGCAAAAAATACTTAAAAAATAATATGGTAAATGCACATTAAAGCACTTTAAACAGAAAAAAAACATATTTTATATTAAATGTTTCTATTATGTCACACGGAAAGAAAGATGAAGTAAAATGTAACTCAAAAAATTCAGCGAATCTTCCGAAATTCATAAAACGGACGAAACGAAAAGTATGAAAAGTTTATATTTTTAATTTATGTTGTACATTTTCATGCTTCAAACTTTAATAAAAATTCTGATAACATAGGTACAAATTCTGATAACATAGGTACAAATGAATACATGAATATAACGTAAAAATCGAAGCAGATTACAAGACAAGTGATAACAATAAAATAAAACAATAAATTAATCGTTAGCAGAGTTATTAGTACAAAATTAGAAAATGTCAGCCGATGAAAATTGTTCCAGCAAAAACAGAAGCAATCAATGTTATGTTTTTAAACAAAGTTAATATTAGAAGACAAGTGTCACATCGTATAAAATAATAAAGATTAATGTTAATGTGTTAAATTACATTAATATTCAAAGTTATATTGGGACAACAGGTGAAATATAGCAATGTAAAACTAAATAAATGTGCTCACGTCAATAGCCCTTTTAATAGCAGCGCACAGTGCCAGGTATCCAGTTAATCCATTAATTTTCCATTCCTTCATATCCTTTTGGGTCCAAAGTGCAAAATTCAATGTATTCAATACGAACAGCCAATCCGCCGCTCTTTTATCATCCTTTTCGGGATGAAATTCGGACGACAATCGCACGTAACTACATGCGACTTCGTTGAAATTTTTATTATCGTAATTGCGAAACATATAAGTTACCACCTAAATAAACCGATTGAGATCTCATTTATAGTAACGTATTTGTTCTATCGCAAAAATCTGACGAGAGCTAAATTTACACAAAATTAGGTAACTTACACCGAAATATTGATAACATTTATACAAAATTATGTAATTTATATCGGAATATTTACAATCAAATTTTCAAAGAAAGAATGAAAAAAGAAAAACCTCCATTGCTAATTCTTCTAGTTCCTTCATGTTGATAGACACGTCTCGCGATTCAGTAACAACATATCGTACTGTATCAGTGTCTTGCTTATTCTGAGACTGCATAATGTTGCATTTACGTTTTGTTCATTGTTTCAAATTACTGCGATTATCTCGGTCGCGGATACTTCAATAAGTCTTACGATCGCGGTCACCTCGACAAGCCTTACGATCGTAACGAAAATAAACATGACATGAAAATACAAATTTTCGACAATATGTGGAAATTTATTATTTGTGTTACTTCAAGATCAACCGAACGCTAAACTTTTATATAATATTTATTTAATAAATTTTATTTAAAAAAATTGTGGAGCATTAGAGATGGGATGCCGTGGTTCCATGCAAGAGTAAGTCTTATAATCGACGGATTTTGAATTTGATCTCTCACATAAATTTTTAATTTGTAATTCGTAAATTATATAAAGGAGATTCTAACAGAAATCTTTCTGGCCTACTTAAGAATTGTACAATATATATATATAAACTAAATAATTCTCATACAAAAATTATAATAAAATTTCCCATCTTTAGGAAACTGAGAGAAATCAAGATTTGATTATTCTCTAAAACCATAATGATTATGATTTACGGCATTACAGATTGCCGGTTACAATTGTTAGTTGATGGTTTTATTTTAGTGATACAGTGAGTACGAACTAGTTCTGTATCATAATTGGCTAAAATAGACTTAACCGGGAAATCGGTAATCTATCATGTAATTACGATTTAATGCCAGTGTCACACTACGCATTGGAGATAAAGGATTACGAATTAAAGATCAGAATTCGACTAATCAGGTAATTTTAATTTTAATCTATAAATTTAATTTTGCTCTAATTTCTCAGCCGATTTTCGACTCGGCTCCGCCTTCCGCTACTCTTCTTACCTCATCATTCCGCACGCAGTCCAAATGCCGCTCGACGTTTAGGAGCGTATGACATTCATAGACATGAGATCCACCCGCTTTGGGCGCTCACGCTGTAAACTTCATTCTATTTTTTTTTCGTTCATTACATAACTTAGATAGAATGTAGCAATGCGTAAGATTGAGCGCTTACGCGTTGTTTCATTCTATCTTACAAGAGACCGGTCAGAACTGTCCCTCACTGATTTTGATGCGCTTTGGATATGTTGTAAAGCATCAAAAAATATTCGACCCATATTTTTTTATAGCGGCTTATCTCAAGGTTTAGAGGGTGAAACACCCCCTTCAAAAAAATGGGATTTTTTCGTTTTCAGAAATATCTTCGAAACTATGCCGCGTATAAAAAAATGGTTTATACAATAGTTTTATAGTATTTTATGCTGTATATAATAGTGTATTCATTTTTTTTTTAAATCAAATTTTTCAATTAATCCCCACCCCCACTTATTAGGGTTGCAAAATTAAAAAAATTTTTAAAAACAAAAATTAAAGAGCATCGGATACCGAATCCATTCATGTATAATAATGTTATGGTTCCACGATTCAATATTTCAGAAAACGAGATGATAACGTGCGTGGCGTTTGTATATAACACGACTATCATCTTGATTTCTGAAATATTGAATCGTGGAACCATAACATTATTATACATGAATGGATTCGGTATCCGATGCTCTTTAATTTTTGTACTTAACAATCTTTTTAATTTTGCAACCCTGATAAGTGGGGGTGGGGATTAATTGAAAAATTTGATTTAAAAAAAAAATGAATACACTATTATATACAGCATAAAATATTGTAAAACTATTGTATAAACCATTTTTTTATACGCGGCATAGTTTCGAAGATATTTGCTGAAAACGAAAATATCCATTTTCTTCAAGGGAGTGTTTCACCCCCTAAACCTCGAGATAAGCCGCTATAAAAAAAATGGGTCGAATATTTTTTGATGTTCTACAACATATTCAAAGCGCATCAAAATCGGTGAGGGACAGTTCTGACCGTTGTTATGTAATGAACGAAAAAAAAAGATACGGAAGAGTTTACAGCGTGAGCATAATGGATGGACCCCATGTCTACTAGAGTCATACACTCCTAAACGTCGAGCGGCATTTGGACTGCGCGCGGGGTGATGAGGTAAGAAGAGTAGCAGAAGGCAGGGCCGAGTCGAAAATTAGCCAAGAAGTGTAAATCGTGCCGAGTGCTGCTATAAATTACTGACTACTGTTGACAAGTCTATTTTAGCCAATTTTAACCAATGTGACACCGGCATAAGGAAGGCCAGAACTTGAATTATAACGCTATTGAATGAATTAGTCTTGGCAAGAGTAGTTTCCAATTTTTATTATAAATATTTCGTACACAAGACCAACTGTAGTGTTGTGAACAAATCGTAGAAATAATAGCTTTGAGAGAAGCTAATTCAAATATCACCATTATTTTCGATCTAAAATGGGGTCTATTGTTTGACCTCCGCAAATTTGACCCCATCCGATTAAACGCCAATGCTTTTCCACTCGTCTGGATAACGCGATCTTCTCATCGATCTCAGTGCACACTGGATTCGTCAAGCTGATCTTTGCCAAGTCAGCACGAGTAGCCAGTACTCTGCCACCGGTGCTCAACGATCCAATGTTAACAAGCAGTACCTCTCCCCTTGATAGCTTTGGTACCTATCATCGAGATATTTACAGAAACAATAAATAAATTAAGATCTTTTTTATTACAGAATAAAAACATAATTTTAGGGAAAAACAAGGCTAGATATAATTACAAGCTAACCAAGAATATAAATAATAAAGAGGGTGTTAAAAAAGTGTCGATTTTTGTCCTCAAAATACCCCTTGGCAGACTTCAGATACATCTGAACTTAAAAAATCATTGTTTGGATCCTAAAAAACGGGAAATAATTGGGAACATTACTAGAATTACTTAAATATAATAAAAAATGACATTATTTACATACATGATTAATAAGTGAAAAATGATGATTTTAGCCAGAAACATAAGTATATACATTCTTCATCTAAAGATCATGGACTACTTTAGTACTATTCAGGATGCATCACGTGGAGGTATAGTCCGCCTAGCATTCCTTGACAGAGAATAGAACTTCGTTTTTTAGGCTTTCACGGGTATTATCTTCAAAGATACCAGAAGGTTTGCGGGTTATCGTCACGTTTTGGTCCATTGCTAATGCCAATGTTTCGTGAACTTTGCCGTTTACTTCATCAGAGCGAGGAGCGCATTGATACGGTGCGACTCCAAACTCTCTCTGCAACGCGTGCGTGCGTACATGCATAATATGGATGAAGTGTGAATGACTTTACTTTTCATCTGATACTTGTGACTTTTTCAAAATCAAAGAGCAAGAATCAAGATATTTTCTTGGAATTGAGCAAAAAAATCACACAAGTGTTACAACGTTCCACAACACGTTGACCTATCTTGCATCCACACACATTAGTCAACATTTGCTTCACTCTTAATCATATTAAAGAGTCAAGTGATTTTGATTGCAAAAGAATCTGTACAGGATGCTTCCGCAACCTACACATTAGTAAGTCGAGTTGTCTATCTGCCTACGGGCAGAGGCATGCTTTAATGGTAATGTAGAACAAGATTAGATCGCAAGTCCGGCGGAGAACAAGACAAGAGAAATTAAATTTTACATTTTACATATATATAGTGTAAAATTCAATTATATATATATATATATATGATATAAAATATGTACAACACACATACGTTAAAGAGCGCCACTAAACAAAACTTCACAATGTGTAGGTTGCAGAAGCACTTTGTGTATATTAACTATATGAAGTATTTAATATCAGCAGATTCTTGGAATAATATAGTACCGGCCAAAATTATATCATCTTTCGATTTTTTGAGCATAATTTTTGTAAGTGAATCAAATGCGTTCAAATTTATACTGTAGACACTTGGTGACTCTTGTATGTAAAGTATGAGATTTGACGATGTACACCATGATTTTTTAATTTTTTATTAATTTTCCCGAAATTGCATTATTGTGCTTTCTTTGCTTTTTATGTTACAGCCGTAGTTTTTACCGTCATGACCTAATTTTAGTAGTTAGATTTATGTCTTCAATTTCTTCACCGCTAGATAACTTTATCAAGAGATATCTCCCAGAGTACAATGAAGATATCTCCTGGATAAAGTTATCCGCAACCTTATCTGGAAATGAAGATCTGATCTCTTTCAAGGAATGCTAAGCAGACTGTGCTCTATGTGGGTACATCCTACATAATGCTGAAGTAGTTCGCATCCTTATACTATACTTACGTTTCTAGCTAAAATCATCATTTTTTTCACTTATTAACTGTATACATAAATAATGTTATTTTTTTACTATATTTAAACAATTCAGCAATGTTTCCACCACTTCTCGCAAAAACGATTGTTATTTTCGGTTTTCTGAGGACCCAAACAATGATTTTTTAAGATTTATTCAAGTGTATCTTGGAGGCGAAAATCGACACTTTTTTAACAGTCTCCTTTATACAGTCTCTGCAAACAGTGCCAAAACTGCTACAGCTAGTATTTTGGTTTCGTTTCAACGAAACGAGATCTAGACGAGATCTAGATAGACGAATATCTAGATCTTGGACTTGGTCTTGTTTTCACGTGCTAAAGCCGCTGTAGGAGTTTTTGACATTATATGCAAAGACACTCTGTATATCAGAAAATAAACCATTATATAAAATATTCATATCGGCAATGTTTATGGGAATGCTAGTTAAGAACAATCCGTTAAATTACAATTTAATTATCCTTAAAACCGTATAGTTACAGAAAACACACATTAATTTGAATGTGATAATGTAAATGCAGAATGAAAATGGACTCACCCTCGCACCCTTTTTATCACCCTCGGTTCTCACTCCTAATAAACGTTTCAATAAATAATACGAAATTTCCAGTTCGATGAATATTTGAGGTAATGCACCGACACTTCCAAGAATTTGCCCAACTAAACGATCAGCACGACATAAAGTAGGCTCAATTTTGGTTCCAACACCTTAAAAAAATCACAATCTATTATTGTTACAAAACGATCGGAACTTATTACGATTCTGTTCGTACTAGAGCGATTAATTACAAACATTTGAAAATATTATTTACCAATTAGACCACCAGGTACAGCAAATTGCAGTTCATTCTGTTCGGCGAATAAAGATACAATGCGTGAGAATATCGGACGACAGGTCAGCTTGCCTTCGCCGTCTTTAGACACTAATCCTGGACGAACTTCAATTTCCATACCGACCTATAATAAAATTGTATTGATATTCATGATTCCACATATCGGAGAAATCAACCTGATTTGAGACTAATCTAGTTTGTACTTTCAACACTCCTCTGAGGATGCTGCCACCAGCGACGCCACCTTTCAAATCGTCCACTTCGCAGCCCGGTTTATTTACATCAAAAGATCGAATAACAATCAGTCGAGGCTCCGACGTGAAATCTCTCATTGGAACTGGGATTTTCTTGGTGATGTATTCACACAGTACCTCGATATTATATTTCAGTTGTGCCGAAATCGGAATTATTGGAGCACCTTCCGCCACCGTCCCTAATTTCAAATGATATGTCAATGACACGTAAATCGTCTGTGTGTGCTATTTTCAATATAGCTAATCGTCTTTAGGATCCTCTTAAGGCATAAAGTTTCATGCAGTAAAGATTCGCTGGCGAAATTTCCCTACTCTATCATATAAGTGAAGCAACATTGTCACTTATACTACCACTTGATTGGTCAAATAGTTTGAAGTATTTTTTGACTGGTTGGTTCAATTTTTTGAATGCGCTTCTTTAATGCTTCATCATTCATGGCATAGTGGCAGTAGCTTTGTCGGCGAACCTTTGTCCCATGAAAAGGTATGAGCAGGTAAAAGAACTTCAGCGAAGACCGTTTGAACGCTGCTTCGTTTTCGGCGGAGTGGAGGAATTTCACCAATGATGTTTACTTCATAAAATTGTACCTTGAGATGGTAAAGAACCAATAGTGGCAGTAGCTTCGCCGGCGAATCTTCTATGAAAAGGTAAAAGCAGGTAATATAGCCGACGGTACACGATGCTTTTCTTGCTGGATTGTTAAGCCTTATGTCCATGAAATGCTAGAAATCGGGCCGATTTCGGACAGAGAAAGAATTAACAAATTGCATTCGAACACAATTTGGTCACATAACCAACGCGATTGGTCAATTCTTTCTTCATCCGAGGTCTCGGATCGATTTTTAGCATGGACAAGGCTTTAGCTGAAATAGATTCTTGCTATCGTATTAGCTGCGATGCTGGCATTGTCAGTACCGCAGTCAATACGATGGCAAGATTCTAATCCAGCTAGGAATCTAACAGGAAAGAAAGCATCGTGTGCCATACGCTTAAAAGGGCTTCAGCGAAGAGAATTTGAACGTTGCTTCGTTTTCGACGGAGTGGAGAAATTTCGCCAGTGAAGCTGCATGAAATTATATCCTGAGATAAAAAACCGATACCTTGAATAAACTTCAATATTTGCTCATACTGCTCCTTGGCTTGTGCTTCTTTAACTAAGTCGATCTTATTTTGCAAGATGACTATGTGCTTAAGTTTCATAATTTCGATAGCTGCCAAGTGCTCCGACGTTTGAGGCTGAGGACACGATTCATTGCCAGCTACAATTCAATAGAATCATAACTTCGAAAAAGTTTATATACTTTAAAAAGAGACAAAACAATGTCTTACGATCAACATCAACAAATATATCGTTTACCGATTAAAAGCAAGGCGGCGTCCATAACAGCTGCTCCGTTAAGCATAGTTGCCATAAGAATATCGTGTCCAGGACAATCGACAAAAGAGACGTGTCGAACCAATTGAAATCTCCCTGAACAAATAGAACGCATGCAAGGGAAAGAATCATCTTTGCTGGATCCGCCGGATATATAACGTCCAGGTCGAGGACATTTCGGATTTTCACATTCGTAAATCTTCGCGTTGGCGTATCCTGAAATGAAGAAGAGCAATCAGACAACTTGCTCTTCTTTCTTCTTCTTCAGTTGGCGAGGATTATTTCTTTTCGAAAGGGGTTTCATCAAGCGCTGTATATTACTGTTCGTCGACTTTCAAAATAAATTCCTTTTCAGCGTGAATTCGTATTTTAATTTTAAAAACCATTCATATATGTATATATAAAAATATATTATATATATATTTGTTAGATTATATTTGATCCACGCTCTAGTTGCTTGTGGTCTAGATTTATCAGACAATATACTTCATAAAAACTTTGTACAATAAAATAATTACATGCATTATACGTTATAGAAATGTCATCAAAAAATAGTTTCCAACTCGTTTCGTCCCATGGGAAATAAACTATGGAAAATAAACATGTCGTGAAACAATAATATAATTTTACATGAGAAGAGATAAACGCGATGAATCATAGTTCATCTCGTAAAAAATTTTATTTTTAGTTCATTCATCAATATAACAACGTGCGCACGATCAATCTTACAGGAATTTTTCTTAGCTATAATTGTTTGATCTCTTATAATACCGACTTACATGTATAAAAGTGCTCATCGACGTATATATAAATAGTGCAATTTTTTGTCTAAAAGACGTAAGAAAATATTCACCGATTGAGATTCTCTGTATAGAGAATACGACGATAGAGTATATGTATACACAGTATCAAAACAGTCCCGATTATAAGACAACAATACATCTTAAAAATAAATCTGTTTTAACTAATATACGTTTACGTCGACCTTTTACGTCCCAATGTGATCAAAAGATACGATGATAACGTAAAACAAATTCTCATGTTTTATAGTTATTTAATACTGCAACGCAATAATGTTTAATATTGTTAGCTGCGACATTGTTACAGGAAAGCATATGTGTGAATTTGTTCATCTTCGATATTTCCATAGTGGAAAATGAACTGCTGTCACACAATTGTTACAGTGAATTCTTCTTTGGCATATTTTTTAACGCAATCAGACTCTTAGTTGTGGATAATTTGTACGTGTCGGATTATGCTTTATATATTGCATAATATGTATCTAACTGCCTACTATTCAGTCCACAATCTTGCTTCAAGAGGCCGTAAGTCGTAACAGGTGTAAGTTGTAAGGTGATAACAATATATCGGTCAGAGAACTTATACTTTTAGATCAAGACTGCGTAAAAACAGTTTAAAGAGAAAAATTATTGTCATTTAATCTCTTTCGATTTATGACTTTATGCCTCTTAAAGCGAGGTTGTGGACCGAGACTATAAAAGGTCGACTCCCGCCGTTACTTTTATTTTCTAAAGATCCTCTTACAAAGACTTTGTCTGAAAAAATATAAGATAGTCATCGATTGAAATTCTCTGTGAAGAGAATACGGTGATAGAGTGGCACATGAACACGGAGTGTCAAGGACAGTCCCGCCTCTAAGATAACAAGACAACTTAAAGATAAATCTTATTTTTAATTAATATATATTTATATCCCGATGTGGTAAAAAGATACGATGACAACGTAAAACAAATTCTCTATTTTAGTTATTTAATACTGCAATGCGAGAATGCTGTTAGCTATGATATTGTTACAAGAAAGCATATGTATGAATATGTTTATCTTCGATATTTCCATAGCGGAAATCGAATTGTATGCTGTCACACAATTATTACAGATGATTGTTCTTTGGCATATCTTAACGCGATCAGACTCTTAGTTGTGAAGAATTTGTACGTGTCGGATTATGCTTTACATACTGCACATAATATGTATCTAATTGTCCACCATTCAGAATAAAAAATTGACTTTCGCCGTTATCTTTAATGTCTAAAAATCCTCTCACGAAGATTTTCTAATAACTATCAATTACTATCTAACGTATACAATATAAAAGTAATTAGAATGTTTTTATTTCTTGGAATAAAAGTAGAATATTTTCTTTCCATGGAATTTAATCGCATTTACCGAAGAAATATTATATGTATTAAATCGGACTACGCTTTTCACAAATGAAGTATCAAAGATTCTGCCTTTTACTCTACAAATAAAAGCTATAATCGCAAACCTACTGAATGATCGTGATTAAAAATTTATCGTAACAAAAATTTATTTATAAATTCTACGGCGCACGGTTATAATACTAAAAAATCGATACATACAATCAATGTGCTGATGAACATCAAGATACTGAGAATGCGTTCGTATGTATTCTTAACGTTTTTATTATAACAGTATTGTTTCTTAATATATTTTTATCCTGAGCTTAGATTCACATTCGTAGCGTCTTCTAATTTTCAAAGTCTTTCCCCTTTAATTTTATTTCCTGAAATAACTTTAATTACATAATTAAACGTATCATTCACATTCACAAAAGTTGAAGTAAACAAGATCCTAGACTTTTTCTAAAATCTCTGATTAGAAAACACTGTAAACTTGATACGTTCAAAATACATATATAGATATACGCAAGAAATATACAAGGTATCCCATTTTAAAGGATCTACTCAAATATCTCAGAAACACTGCATTAAATCGAAAAATGTTTCAGACAAAAGTTTTTTTACTTCGGAAGGGAGATGATACCATTGGTTTAATCTTGAGTGGCGTTGTTAAAGTCAAGACAAGGTTTCACCTTTTTAAATGGAACCCTCGCCTCCCCCCTTATAGCTTATTATAATATTCTGAAAAATTCTCAAAGTAAGCTACAAGAATATGTAATGAAAAATGGAGAGTTTCAAAGTGACCTTGCCCTGACCTCGATAACACCACAAGGTCAAACCAATGGTACCATCTTATGTCCTCTTTGAAATAAAAAAAATTTTTGTCTGAAACATTTTTCGATTTAACGCAGTGTTTGAGATATTTGAGTAGATCCTTTAAAATGGGACACCTTGTATAACTCAAGAAATATATAATCTGCGTTCTGCAAAAAAAAGAAAGGAAAAGTAGAAAAAAAGTAACATTAATATACAAATTGTAAGGATAATATACAATAAAACTCGACGTTACTATGTAATTGAAAAACGTGAATTTTTAATCATATTTCTTGTATTTGTATTTAATTTGTACAATTACCCGAGTATAAAAATTTTAGCACAAAATGTATTAAAACAAAACCATGCAACAATCAGCTTTGTCACACTCTCAGATACAATTCAGTATATTCATGAAACTTAATACATCAATAATTATTCAATAATATTAAAAAAAAAAATGTCAGTGTGCAGCCTTATTTATCTTCTAGTTAAACATTTCTTTCGACGTCTTTCTTCTATATTCATCCACAATTTTCCACCAACTTATTTACCACATGCATCCTTTTCCTTATATATTAGTTTAAAGTTTGCAGTTTGTACTTTAAAGTCTTATTTCTTTAACAAGCATCAAAATAGATAATAAAATTAAAATCATTTGTCATTGCATCAAATGCGAATCATGATCAAAATACTACATGCTTTATAATGAGATACAATAGTAACTTTATATAGTTATCAAACTTTCAAAAGCTTTTATTTTACATTTTACTTGAAAAACTGCTTTATTATAATGCGGGCTTGACTTTTATAATATTATGTAGCATTCAATAAAAAAAAATAATGCATTAAAATTTGAAGGATTATAGCAATTATATATAACAATAAAATCACTTTTTGTTAATAGTAAGTCAAATAACTTTATAATTACTCACAGCTTTGCTGGCGCTATTATAATTCAATCAAAAAGATAGACTGAGCTTAGAAAAATAATTGCAAACGAAGTTTTGAGTAACTATATTGCCAGAGTTACTATTCTCATCTCAGTTAGTCCTGAGTATATTCTTCCTTTCCAAATCCTTTCCAAATTATAGTTGTCACTAATGCCAGTAATTTTGTATACAGAAAAAAAAAAAGAAGAAACTAAGATCATCAATTGACGCTTACGAAAGTTACACGACAAGCATACTCCTTAAAACACAAACTTCCGGCATTTTGCAGTACCACACTTACAGACAACTCCATTTTTCAACGCATTTTTGCGCGGCTTCTTATTACCATAATTGAATGTAAGTTCTTCATTCTGCTTAATATCCTTCGTAGCAAATAGCGCGAGATTCGGCAGATCCGGTTCCAGACAATTGATCCAAACTGGCCAGACCGCGAGATTGGGATCGCAAGAATGATTAATAAAGTGTGAAACGTTTCCATGCGTAATAGCGTCTACGGTGTACGGGGACGGCTGTCGGTTGTAGTCGAGGTCAAAGAGATATGAACAACCAGTCCTCTTGAAATCTCTACCACGTTTCTCTTTTACTTCCTGCGTAGTAATCACCTCACCCACATATTTGATCACGAAGGTGCCTTTCTTGATCGCGCGCAGAGTGCGCACACCCCAGCCACGTTCATTGTCCGTACGGAAGATGCACAGTTGTGCTTCGGTACCTAATTGTACCACCCGATTCGGACAAGTCTCGTCGCATGCGCAAAGCTCGTTACATTCGTAAATAGGATTACCTTCCTTTAGGCGTAGTCGGCGCGCCGACGTGTATGGCAACGACTTGACTATGTCGTTGTTCTGCGCAAAACAGCAATCAGACTTCTTACTGGTCCCGCACGTGCCTTTGCACTTGCAACCGATTGGTGGATTATCCGGTATATCAACACCTGGACCTGACAAATATTCGTCGATATAACAGAAGTCTCGCGGTAGATTCTGCAGATCCACCAAGTTCTCCACTTTTATCATCGGCTTGCCCTCCGTAATTTCATTCATTTTGGTCTGCCACTCCTCTAAGGATTTGAGTTGTTCACACCGCAGCTCAAGCAGCAGCATGAACAATATCTTCTCTTTAATATTTTCCTCCAAACCGATATCGTGCTTGTTTTGATTTAAGTAATATCGAATTGCGGTGTATGTACTATCCCCAGCGATGGCAATAGTGGCATCGTTTATAGCGTCGATGATTGTTTTATTATTGGTTTCATAATGTTGCGCCAGAAAAATATGAACATGAAAATCCTGCGGATCGAACTTCATCTTTGTCTTGAATTGAGTGATCAACTCTTCCCGCTCCTTCTCAAATTTAAATATCAGTTCATCGCAGTCGAGGTTCTGCGACGGTTCCCATGAGTTGTGATTGACATCCCAGTTTTTCCACTTGATTAGATAGTGTATTTGTCCCCTATGTTCTCGTTTTTGTAGAATCTTCTCCACTTCACAATCTTTCATCTTCTTCTTGTTGGACGTGACGAGCGTTGGTGCCAGTAATTTTCGATACTTCTCAATGCGCATGATATCATACAATTGTACTCGCACCTCCTTCATCTCAGTATCTAAACATAGAGTTACAATGTCTCTTCGCGTAAATAATCTATTATCAGATGACAATTCTTCATAGTCGGATTGCCGACCGTCGCTACTTGAATTCCTCGTGTTCGTACTTCCGCTACGCGTGCTAGAGCTATCGTCAAATACTTCAAGCATTTGGTGGTATTTCATTGTTTGGTGCGACGATGTAGATGATGAAGAAGATAATAATGATACCAATGAGGAAGACGAGGCTGAACGCTCTGTGCTGCTACTCAAGCGACGAAATATGTTGTTGCGGCTCCGGGTGTTGTGAATTTTAGGCATCTTGGCGCACGATGGTGCGTCAAGGCGTCCAGCAGAAGAGACGTATCGTTTATGGACAACGACTGGCGTTTCGCTAATTATGTTGACAGGTATATCTGCTGATTCACTGCTACTGCAATCCGCCGCGTCTGTAATATCAAACATTCAAATAGCGTCATTTCCTTTGTTTTACCTTTTTTTCTAACGTTTTTTGAATGAACTCTCTTGCCTTTTCGCTCATTTTTCTTTTCCTTATATTTCATTTCGTTTTCATTATCCTTCTCCTCAACGTTCCTTTTCGCTTTTTGACTCGGCTTGTCGGACGAATAATAGCAACGAATAACACCGGGATGTTTTATTCATGTCATGATCGAGTGGTACATAATAATAACGACAGCGTGTGATTCTAATATCTTCTTAAGATATATTTGACTTTTCATCCTATTTGCAGCTTCACGAGTTAAGAAAATTAAGAAATTTTTGTCGAGACTTTTACATACATTTTGAAAGTATATGATATCGTTTCAGTTTGCATTTTGATGAAAGTTATAAAACACTAGTTCTCTATACAAGTATCACGCAAGACGTCCATATAAAATCCCCTCATCAAATATTTTATTACAAATAAACTCCAAACAATAATATATAACGGCGTAGAATGTGCACGAATTATTAGCAAATGTTAATGTTAATACTATGATTTACCACATACCACACAGTTTTGATTTGTTAAATGTGTATATATTAAAGAAGCTACACGGTCTACGGATTATTTTTATATCTTGACACATTATTAAAGCTCCTGAGTACTCATCTCAGCCATATTGAATCGTGAAGTCATAAGCGAGAAATGACATGTTGATTTTTCTTGTTGCAAGATTGGTATGTTTAACAAAAACAACATTAGTCTTTAACCCTGTCTTCAACCCTGATCATTTGTAAATAAAAACAATTTGAATAAAACGATATAATAAGATAGCTGTGAAACACTTGAGAAAATGGGCCGAGAAAACTATCCTTACCCCGTTGACAGTCAGTAAATAGTCGAAAAATATTCGTGAAGTAAAAAAGGCTACGCATATGCATTAAGTACAAACTAGTAAACGCACTAGATTTTATTAGGTTGGGCCCACCTTATCAAATTCTGCCTTAAATGTTAACGTTTCATAAACATTACAGTTCACTTCATCAGTACGATCTGATACCGGCATTAGGTTGCTCTCATTTTGATGAAGTGAACTGTTCATGAACCGTTGACATTTAATAATGTTCTAAAACATGGAGATAATCCGCAAATCATACAGCTTCTTTGAAGAAGATACCCGTGGAAGCCTCAAAAGACATTTATATATGTAATGAACGGAAATAGAGCGAGTTACGGGGAATAGTCATAGTCGATGCTTATTTCAAGACCGTATTAAGTAATGTCTTAAGATACTAATATGGCTCTGTAATTGGTTTATGCTATCTTAAGATTGTATTTAAGAGAATTTTAAATATAAGAATCGACTATGAATATCTTAAAATGCTTATTAATTTTTAACTGTATTATAATATAAAGATTATACTTACCTCTTATCTCAATTTTTTCTTACCAAAATTCACATTTCAAAGGACATAATAATATAAAGATTAAAATTAAAATTTTATTATTTTTTAAGTTAACTATTTGTCATTATCACTTTAACAGTAAAAAATATGTAGAGTTTTCTCGACTATATGAGCCGTTTATTTTGAAAGTGACCTAAGTCCATTTATTTTTAAATTGAGATATTTAAGAGTTTGCGTTTCAATAAAATTAAAAATATACGTATAGGATACCAACATGTCACACTGCTTAAGTGTATCTAAGAGAGTTAAATTTACAATTCCTATTAAAATAATAGCAATTATTAAGTGAATAATATGTGTTTTCTTACTACAAATGGAGTTAAGCCACTTTCAAAATTAACAACTAGATTTGTTATAAAATTTGAAAGAGCCCAAGTCCATTCGACAATTTAAAATGCTTCAAATTGAAAAAACAATACTCAATTTATTTTATATTATTTCTTTACAACACTTCAAAAACACAATTTATGCAATTCAGGAAATCTTCTAACTATATAAATTACATAACAATTTACTGCTCATCTACATTTTGTGTATGCGGGAGGGATTTGAAGAAGTCATGGTGCTCCGGTAGTATATATCGTAGTAAGTCCATCATGTCCTTGTATTTCGCTGTTGAAATTTGTCTTATATTTTTATAAAGTGGTGTCAATACAATATTTTCGAATTTTCTTGGTCTACCTCGACGCGTGGTAATAAATCCAGGATTTTAAACTCTGCATTCTCATCCATTGATATCTTTAGAAAATTTTATATGGTTCATTTCTCAAAAAACGCATCCAGCATATTTTTAACCAATTTATTGTTTCTCCGTTAGAATTCTTTACCCTTTTAAAAACTGCGTCCTCCAAAAATCTTGTTGATATGAAATCCTCTTGTTTCATTTCATTTAAAATAAAGTTATTACCTTTCCGGCACTTTTTGATAACATTATAATAATCTTGGGGGACAAACAGTAAATTATTTTTCTTTAATGACATTTCTACGACGCCAAAATCTCTATCATTCGGTAAAAATGAATGTCCTAATACTAAAAATTTGTGGTCTATGATTTCCACATTATAATAGATTGGACTTAGGCCACTTTCAAAGTAATGTTTTTAATTATTGAAATAATTGCGAAAATTTATGTGTCAGAAATTATCGTATACTCTGAATATACTTAACCGCAAAATGTTGTTTATGACAGCTAACTTCAAGTTGTACACGCTAGTACAGTCAACAACAAAAAATTGACAAATGGACTTAGGCCACTTTCAAAATAAACGGCTCATATATCTTTGCAATTACGAGAGATGTTTAAAAATTTTTGCGAATAATAGATGACGCTGGAAAGAAAAATTATATAATGTTGACACTATAAAAAATAGCGTAACAAAGTCATGCAAATAGGTTTTTTCTAATGTCATCTATGTATTCATTCGTGAAACTTTTTAAATGTCTCTCATATTAAAGAATAGATACTTTATCCTTTTAACGAAAGTTAAAACATTTAAAGCAGACCTGTCCAAAACTTAGCTCATAAGCTAAACGCTCCTTTTCGTTATCTCATTGAAAACTGTTGAAATTGAGAAATAAATTCGTTTGCTTTTTTTTCTTATACATTGAAGACAGTGATGCCGTCATTTGCTATTTTCTTATACATTGAAGTCCGAGCACGCTGCATTCGGTAGATTACTCAATGGTGCCAGATTCCGGCTTGCGCAGTGCATTACCACTTTGGCTGCATTCGGGGAAA